TATGTGGTACTGAGAAATCAAACCCAGGGCTTCATGTCTGCAAGGCAAGCACTCTACCACTGAGCCACCTTCCCAGCCCCTAAGTTTCTTTTGCTCAAGGTTAGCGCTCTTCCACTTGAATCACAACTCCAGTTCTGGCTTTGTTTTGGTGACTAATTGGAGATAAATACTTCAGAGATTTTCCTGCCCCATTTAGCTTGGTACAGAGATCCTTAGATCTCAGCCTCCTGAGTAGTGAAGTTTACAGATGTGAGCCATCAGTGCCCAGCCTCTGTAAGAGGTGAGAACTATTCTTCTGAAGGTACAAAATTTGTACAAAGGTGTTATCATCTAATATATAATGCTTAGGGTGCAAACAAAATTTAAGAAAAAAATTATTCTTGATTAAAAAAATAAAATATGGAAAACTAAAAGACAATTTCGTTAAGACTATTTAGGTAAGAAAATAAAAAGAATCTTATATAATCAAGTACAGCATACTAAAAAAATCAATAATTAAAACCTGAGGAGAATCTTCTATTGACTGACAGTCTTTTACACCCAGTTTCCTCTGGTTGTAAGCATAAATTATTTGGGTTATTAGGAATATTCCCTTGGAGAAGGCTACAGGGCCCAGGATTGCTCTAACACGAACTCCCTCCTCCATATGCTGCCACGCCCAACCAAATAGTGCCAACACATCATGCAATGCAACTTCCAAGACCGCGAGACACAATAAGTACTTCCTCAGTATAAATTAATTACCTCAGATATTTTGCTGAAGAGATGGAAAGCTGAGCATAGGAAGTACTAAGTAAGTCTAAGTCTATTTGGCTCCTGTCATGTCCCGGCAACTTCAACAGTACATAGCACATGATAAGTGACAGCATTTTAGTGGGTATCCGTGTGCCACCCCTTGAATAGAGTTTTAAAAAATATGTTTGAGTAGAAATATACATGTTGTTTTCTGATCTTGAAAGCCTCTTCCTGTCTGTTTTCAGCAGTCTTCACCCTTCCTTGCCTACTCTGTGTGGATAACTAGAAATTCCAGGTAGCTGGCTTCCCAATGGCTCAGTCAGTTCTCTTCATCCCCAACTCACAATTGGACTAAGGTATTTGTTTTTCTGTAAGATAACTGTTTACACAATTGTTTATCTCCTGCCTGAGTTAAAAAATATTCAAGTTTTCTGAAAAGTCTCGCATAGAATATGTTTAAATAAACAGATGCTTGGATGCATAAATTTATGAATAACTGAAGTATATAGCTCAATGACACATCAGGAACAACAGGAAAATACCCTTTTGAGGGACTTATAGCCAATGTCAGACATTTATCATTACAGCATTTTAAACATGGTTGAAAGGATAAGTAGTATAAGTATCTGAATGAGTTAACAAATTGTGCCAGATTCTCTTTGAATTTCCATATTCTCTGAGAAACTAGTAATAACTGATAACTTCTGTTAATTGTTGTCTTGTAAGAAAAGAAACACAATTTGGTTGATGGAAGTTATTTCTGTGTGTGTGTGTGTGTGTGTGTGTGTGTGTGTGTGTGTGTGTAGTTAGCTTAGGCTGTCATGGGGCGAAGGGACAGGGATGCTAGTAGAAGAAGAAGATGTCTTTATCAAGGTTACCAGGGTTGCTTCCTAGTGGGACACTCTACCTCTTCTATCTTCTTAGTCATAGAGTTCCTAGTACAAACCTCATGCAGACTATTTGATTCCAGTGACATTGTGGTAAAGATGTTAAGGAAGAGATGTGTTTTGCTGTGGAAATCAAGACAGAGGGAATATCATGTGAGAAAATGAAGACTTCCATGTAAGCAAGGCAGGTTTAAATCCTAAGGACCAGTTGGATCTGAAAGGGGTCTTCAGTGCATAGGGCAGGGAGACAGAGCATTAGGACTGCGGCAAATTCTGTAACCTGCATGGCCTGGTACTCCATTGTGGAGCCAGATATTGTCATCTTAAGTGCTCTCTTTATGTCACTTCAGAAGAGGATTTCTAGGAAGACTGGTGACAAGGGTTCTATGCATTCTTATCTATACCTCATCCACTTGTTTCATCAAAGCAACTTTAACTGGCTTTACATACTAAGGATTTATATGATTTTGAGAAATTGAAGTTTAATATATGAGCATAACAATAGATGACAGTAAAGGCTGGAAAGTTGGGGATTTAGGAGTAAAACATGATCGTTGTCCAGAATTTTATTTTAGCGATGGGAAGTCAGAGCCTATCAGAGAGCCTGGTAATAGGTTGTCTATGACATGAATCCTGAAGAAGCAAATCATGAAACTATTCCGATGATTGGTTAAAACCAGTCTTAAAGAGTAACAGAGAACATCATGTAATTAAATCAATAGAAAGAGTGAAACGGTGAAGGGAAGGAAGGACTAATATCTTAGTGTGTGGTAAATTAACAGATTTGGGAGCCATTCACCAAGATGAACTGTCAGTGAGCCTTCAACACAGTAAGTTGGATATCTTATCAGCAATCTAGAGAATAAGCTCCATCTGGAATAGAATAAGTATGAATTTTTTGTGAGCTAAAGAAACTATGATGGGTTGTGCAATGAGTCTTTAAGGAATTTTATATCTGAATGTCTATTTTTAATATGATGTGAAAATTTTCATGTGTGTTGAGACTGGATGGAAAAAATGAAAAAGACATGAACTTTGAAAATTTGAATGCAATAGATCAAAAGGACAATATCAATGGTTATTTATGTACAATATATGTTTTTAACTAATAAGTGTCAAAGCAATATAAACACTGGTATTAGGAATTGATGTATTAGGAACTTGTACTGGCAGCAATCTGCATGCTTATGAAAATTCTCTCTGGGTAAACGCCGTATTCAATTGATATTGACTGAAAAAATAAAGACAGCACATTATCAAGTCATAGCTGGGAATTTGGGTCTACCTATAGAAAATAATATTTTAATGTCTCTAAGAAGAATAATTCAAATAATATACTCTTAGGATGAAAGTAAGATCAGAAGTTGGTCATTGGAGTCAGGTGCTAGTGGCTCATATTTGTAAACATAGCCATTGAGGAAGAAGAGATCTGGTGGAACATGGTTTAAAGTCAGACGTGGCAGAAGAGTCCATGAGATTCTATCTCAAAAAAAAAAAAAAACTAGCAAGAAGCAGGACTGGAGGCATGGCTCAAATGCCAACTGAACAAACCTTTTGAGCATGTGTAAAGCCATGAGTTAAAAAATAAGTTGATCTTTAGATAGTCACAGAAATATGTTTAGGGATCTGCCATTCAGAATGACCAGAAGTACCATCAGAAAGATTAACAGGTATTACATTGAGTATATCTTCAAAAATCTGGAATCCAAGTTGAGAAAACAAGATGTTATCATTTAAACAGGCAGTGAGAGGGAATTATGTTACAACAAATATTTCACACAAGCAATTTCATTTCATAAAGTTCCAAATGCATAGTTAGGTATTCTAAAATCAAACAAAAACCAACTATATACAAGTACACATTCATATACAAACAAACTTCAGATCTATTTATAAATTTAGAACAGTTTGTTCTAGCAAAATTAAATATTTTATTTCATTTGTATTTCCTATATTTAGTAATGATAGCAATGCCCTTTCACCATTATAGGATTTCTTTTTATTAAGAGACTCTTATTTTTCATATGCAGAATAAAGAGTAGCTAACCTATTTTTCCTAAATCTCCAAGAGGAGATTTACAAATCACATTCTAGCATCTTTCTGTTCAGAAGACATCTGAGATTTTTCGAGCTTGAATAAATAAAATACTATTATTAAGCAAAGTTCTAGGAATAGAAAGACATTTATTTTTCCAGTATCTTATTCAAGGAAATCTCAATTCTTTAATTGTGTTTCTAATGTCCCTTGTTCCTACCCAAGTTCTTGGACAAGAATATATGGTAGAAACAGCCCTGGGATTCTATGCACTTAGTGCTTCAAAATAGGCCAGTCTTTGAAAAGGAATCAGAGTTAATTTATTCCTGCTACATAAGGTTTATATAGTCTTTATCCATTTCAAGTAGGTCTGTGCAGAGTATGAGATTGTACCAATAGTTTCCTTGTTTTTCTTTCAGGTTATAACACCTGATTTGATTTTTACTGTTGGTAAAGCTGACAACTGACAGTATTTATTACATTTTCTACATATTCTTAGAAGAAGGTAAAGTCTAGATTTAATTCCTTACAAAATCACCAACTTATTAGAATTGTTCTTCTTTACCTGACACAAACATATTTTTCTGGGATGGACAATCATTCACTTGTTTTCAAAAACGTAAAATATGTCATCTTTCCAAGTTAAATAAATGACCCTTTTGTAATTTATAAAATTTAAAGCATACACGGTAAATTATAGCATGAGGAGAAAATAAAAATGCTTAAATATCTCAATAAGTATAAGGAATTGTCTAAAATTAAGCTGTTCAATCTAGAACAGGACCAAGGATTGAATCTCGTTAAGATAAAAAGAGCAAGTGTGATGATCTCTTTCAATCCATGATCTAATGAGAAATACTAAAAGAACTAAAGCAAATTATGGGAAGAGAAAAACTATAATCAAAATGCTATACTCTTAGAAGCCTTGTACTAGGCAGAGTGGCATTTACTAAGCTACTCGATTTTTAGCTGGCATCTTTATCTTCTTCTGATATGAAGATTTGCGTTGTTACCTCCTTATATTTTTATGGAAAATTTCAAAATAACACTTCTTTGAAATTTGATGAACTATCTCTTAAAATTATCACCTGGAAGACATAAACTTCAAAGTCAAGTGACAGATAATAATAAAATTTCATGTGAGATAGAACTATTATTATATTGGAAACACTGTAAAAAATTTATACAGTAACAATATGGAAGTAAAACACAGGTATCAAAGGCAATTTTAGTCATATTTTCAAACTGATAATGATTTGGTTTTTGAGATATTTTTACTATATATATATATATATATATATATATATATATATATAACACATTTTTAAAATAAATATACTTACCCCCTGAAAGGAGAGCCGGCTTACTTTTTACCATTGGGCTGGAATGGGGGAACTTGTTGCTAAATGACATGAACAAGTGTGCTGTGAAATCGTCAGGAAGCTCTGCTTCCAGGAATGTCTTCATAAATAGCTTGAAACCTTCGAAATCTATCGTCTGGAAGACAACAATGTTTAAACACATATTTTAAGATCGAGACACATGTTATAAGATTTTGTGTAACATTTAAAATCTGTAGTGGTAAGAATTAGCACAGACACTTTGCCTTTCCAAAACAGAAGTATTCACATGAGAAATGAGTTGGGAAGTCCTGCACTAGTTTTGACAAATGAGATGCATGTTTCATCTCTGATGGTAAAGTAAGAGATGGAGATTTCTGATGAGATATTTTTATCAGCATAGTATTTAGAGGACCTGAGACATTTTTAATCTTTTGAATCTGATAACAATTGGGACTGGCACTCCCAGTGTTACTGAGATGCAAGGGTTAAATCAGGTTCCTGGCTGAAAAGTTAATGTTGGTTCATACATTCACACAACGGGCACACTGAAAAAAGAGAATTTCTTATCTTCTTCCCTGGTCTATAATGATGATTATCACTTTCAGAAATTTCAAAATAAAATAATTATTGCTTCACATAGTTCATGCCTGTAATCCTAGTTACCCAGGAGGCTGAGATCTGAGGATTATGGTTCAAAATCAGCCAAAGCAGGAAACTCCATCAGACACTTATCACCATTTAACCAACAGAAAAAGCAAAACCAGAAGAAGACAGGTTGCTTCAGTGGTAGAGCACTAGTTTGAATAGAAAAGCTCAGGGACAGGGCATAGGCCCTCAGTTCAAGGCCCAGAACTGGCACACTCACATGCACACATACACACACACACACACACACACACACACACACGTATCATTAATGCTTCAGCTACTTAATAAGATCAATTGATAAAACATCCTCAAACCTCATTTCAGTCTTTTATAGAAACATATACCTTTCACACCCTTCCTCACTACAGTGCTGTCTTGATCAGACTTTCATTTGGAAGTCATTGATAATGCTGAATCTCTTGGCTACCTAAAGGAATGGCTAGAGAATCCACCTTGGGACATTCATCTCAATAAGTTTTCACAGAAACTACCACAGAGTTCCCTCTTCCTCTGCTGAGGAAAAGGACAGACTGGGGTCTGACTCCTCCCTGGAAACTGGGGACCAGTATACCCAGATTTTGTGGAAAAGGGCAGTGAATATTATCATTATAGACGTGGTGAAAACACTTTGGAGGAAAGGAATAGGAATGTAAGAGTGTTTCTGAGAAATGGATAAAGATAATGTAGAAGAGACCTGTGGCAGTGTTGTAGGTCCTGTCCCTCTGAAAGAATGAGCAAACGTACTAAGACGAAGGTGGAACAAAGCCGTATTTGTCAAGAGTAAGAGAAGCCAAGGAAAGATGAGCCTGATAGAAAGCCCTTATAAGGCTGCTTTTTCCCCCCTCCTCACACAGTTTAATGTACTGAGATGACGCTAAAAATAGGCCAAAAGTGAAATTTGGCAGGCTGTTTTCAATTTTTCTCAAAGCCCTGGCAAAAGAAGAATATAATTAATCCTCCAAACTGTTATTTTTAAAATGAAAAAAGTCAACTTTTCCTATGTGATGCATTGGAGGGAGATAGCAGAAGATGACTAACACCTATTATCATTATTTATTATTATTGTAATTGCTGCTATTATATTGTGATTTTGGATAAGCCTAAGGTGGAATACATTATTCAAAGCTATTATTGGAAAAAGTAAATTGTGAAAGATTATCTCATGTGCTAGCTATATACGTATATACATGCAAGTATATACATGTTTTTCACACATAGATACATGTATACATGTATGTGTATTATATGTGCATGTGTGCATATACACATATGTGTACATATAGATATACAAATACATATGTAATAAATTTTAACTTAGTCTCATGGAAAAGAAAAAGAAACCCAAAACTTCTCTTTATTAATAGTTCCTAGACTCTGCCTACACTTCGGCCTGACATTTGCAGTTTAGTTTTGTTTTGCTCATTTGTTCTCAGATTTAAGATATTATATTGGTGGTTGTAAGGAAGTATCATTTTGTCTTCATTTAATAAATAATTACCATCTCAGAATTATAAAAGCTCCAAAAATTGAATTGCATAATTAAAAACTATGAGTTGTGGAAGAATATAACAGTTTTGCAAAGGAAAAGTACTTTCAAAAGGTATTTAGAGCTTGGCACTGAAGACTCACACTTGTAATCTGATGATTTCGATTCAAAGCCAGCCAGGTAAGGCAAATCTGGGAAACTCTTATCTCCACACAAACAGTAAGAATCTAGAACTAGAAGCATTCTCAAGTGGTAGAGCACCAGCAATGAGTCCAAAAATCTATCAAGAGCCCAATCTTCGGATTCAAAGTCCTAGCACCAGCAGCAACAATAAACAAAACAAAACAAAGGCTACACATTACACTAAATGTAGTAAACATTTAAAAATACAAAGACCAACAGCTAGGCAAAAGTTTCAATTAAAAGTAATGCCTATTAATAGCATTCATTATTAGACATATTAAACAGAGGTAATCCATGCTCAGTTGGATGAGTAACCAATACCAGTAGATAACCTTCCACGTGTGTGAAGTCCTGATAGAATTAGGGGTTGATTTTTTTCCAGAATTCTGTGAAGTCTATGGAAAAAAAAATATTTATAGGCATAGGGTAAGAACAACGTCATGAGTGGTATGGCTTCATTCTGGGTCCTAGGTCTCTGATTGTATTCTGTTTAGCATACACAAATAATTAGGGACATAGTCTTTTCAGGCAGACAGCCTGTATCAGCCCTTGAATCCAAGCCTAGCTATGTGACTATGCAGATACGATTTCCTCTCAAAGAAAATTTTCAACTATAAAATTAAAATAAAAGTACCAAGACATAGCTCTTAGCTTTTAAGGAGGATTAGAGCATTTACTATTTTTAAGGCACCAGAAATGGGATACAAGTAGTCAAACAAATATAAACAGTATTTATGTAATTATAATCAATTTAAGTTTTCATAACTCCAAATAATATTGAAAAATTAGCCTTAACTGTCATAAATACCTCCATGTATATTTCATAATCATTATGTTCTTGGTTATTGTCACTGTTTATTGTCCAATGGTTATTCTATAAAATTAAGAAAGTGAGGGAAAATGAGTAGGGAAGGGATGTATTCATAAACTGCTTTGTTAATTGGCAACTCCTTTGTACAACTACTTAAAGATGATAAAAATAAATGAGTAAATAAAATAATCCAATATGTTTTTAAAAATCTGACCTTTTAGAAGGTTCAAAGAGCTAGATGTCAGAAGTTTCACCATGGGCCTCCTTTTGTAGAATAATGATACTTTGAAGCAGCTATAAGAGTTTGATGAAGTAACAAAAAAAAGCAAAAAACAACAAGAACAAAACAAGAACAACAGCAAAAAGCCCACAGATGTATACATAAAACCAAAATCAGATTCTATTTTTTCTATTTGTGTCCTTAGTGACCCTGGGTAAGGAATTTAGAGGCTGACGTTTGGTTTTGAAACAAAACACTTGCCAAATCTCAACTATGTACTCTTTATAGGACTCTCCCTACCCAGCAAGGTCCACATCAAAATAAGCACCTGCAATATACTAATTAAAACCAAAAAAATAACCAATTCAGAGAAGAAAATGAACCAAAATGCCTATTGTCCAATTAACAAACCATACAATGAATGTTTCTGTATTATTCTCTATCTTCCTAAGAGTGCTTGCTCAATTCTTAGACTTTCTGCACTTCCTCATATGACCTAACTGTCTTTTTCACAGCAAACAAATAACTCATTTTAGCTCTATTTTCTGACCACTCTAGCTAGGACTTCATTTCCTCCCCCAAAAGTGAAACATGAGATCAAAATTTCTGGTTTGTTGTCTAAATGGATAAAAGTGATATAAAGCATTTCATATACTTTTGAACATGTAACATGTAAAACAAAAAAAATAAAATGATGAATATAAGGGAGCATTGTCTCGAGTAAGACAGATATTTTTATCATCATAATTGACTTTTTATTAGTGCAGAGAATTATGAAGTTCAAAGAATATTCTCAAATCAGAACTTCAGGTTTGTTTTGTCTCAGACATTTGGCTGTAATTTTCTGTATTAGACAGCATTTATACTAATTCAGAAAGCAAGAATTTAAAAATAGTTTACTTTAACAAAAACAAAAAACAAGTCTATTTCTGAGAGGGGAAAAAATGGAATCAGTATTTAAGTCTTCAATGGCTTCTAGGAGATGACGTAATATTATTTTTTGCTAAATTTCTGACAGGGTGAACATGTTCCTCACCTTCTCCACTGTGTTCCTGCCAGCAAATCGTTCTCTTTTATTTTCTGCTGTTATACGTGATCCACAATGTTTAAAAGGTGACCATTCTTTATAGCTAACAATAAACTGACTTGACTAATGAGAAATTATTCTTCAATTCCTTTCCTGAGTAGCCCATTTCCCTTTTTTGTTCATAAAAGATTTTATGTTATTCAAATGATCAGATGCTTCTGATAAGTGAATGAAGTCTTTGACTTATATATTTTCCTCATCTCAGGGCTTAATAATTTTTTTCTTTCAAGTTTGAGTACAGTTTCTACTGCTAATATTGAAAGACTTTGACTTTTAAACATAATGAAATCATTTATGTGTCTATTAATTTTTTAAAAAATAATGAGAAAAGTTGGGAAAATTTAATTGGATGGGTATTCAAAACTGGAATCAGCTGAAAACTCATATGTATATGCATACCCACAGTGTTTTAAATGTAAATGTTGCTTTTCAATTTTGCTCTTTAAGAAACAGGCACAGACTAGTTAGGGAGACAACAGAGGTAATCTGGAAAACAAAAACAAAAAAGAAACAAAGGAAACAAAGGCGAAGGTAACAATGCTTGATAGGAAATGTTCTCATTACCTTGCTCATGTAACTGTAACTCCTCTGTATAGTATTTTTACAATAAAAAACATATAAAAAAGAATAAAACATTAAGGGAGCAGCTAAACTGTTGCTAACAAGTCAGCAAAAACACGTGTCTGTATTTTCATTACTATATTTGATCATCTGTATCCTTGGTTTTTAAAACCTCTGTAATGCTAAAGTAATGATACCAGTATTCATCTGAGTGGGTTTAAGGTGGATGAAAATATATGTAATTTCTTTAACTTCTTTTGACTTCCTTTGGCAGATTTGGATTGGGGAAGCAGGTTGAACTCCATGTGTTGGTATCAAGCTGTTATTGGAACAGACAATGAGTCTCCCATTAGGGATCTTAAGTTTTAAGGAAAGGAATAATAGAAAAGAAAAGGCTGTATGTATCACATCAGATGAGATTGAGTCTTACACACACACAAAAAGAAAAAAAAGAAAGAAAAAGGAAAAAATTGTATATAATACAGGTGTGGGGATTGCAGATTAGATTTAAAACTGCAATCTAATGATCACATAATAGGGAAGTGTGCTTTGAGTACAGATTTAAAGAAGCTGAGGGAATTTCCAAGTATTTGGAGGAAAAACATTACAGAAAGACCAAACTGTTAGTGAAAAGCCCTCCCTGAAGTATAATCATGCTTACAGAGGAATTTTCTAGAACATGCTATATAGGATTTACTAGCAGAAACAGACTAGGTCAGAAAGATAGGCAGATTAGGTAGTAGGGGATAAGTCAAAACATATTTCCATTGGTGTGTAGGATACTAGATCAACAGAGAACTATAGCTTCAACATAGGTTGAAAGGAACTGTTATTGGAGAAATGTAGTGGAAAATCAAATTTTAACATGACCTCACTCATTTTAGTAGATTCATATGACCATAAAAACATTACTTTTGTAATACAAAAGATAGTCATTGGGGCTGGGAAGGTGGCTCAGTGGTAGAGTGCTTGCCTCGCATGCATGAGGACCTGGGATCGATTCTTCAGCACCACATAAGCAGAAAAAGCCAGAAGTGGCACTGTGGTTCAAGTGGTAGCGTGCTAGCCTTGAGCTGAAGAGCTGAGGGACAGTGCGCAGGCCCAGAGTTCAGGCCCCACAACTGGCAAAAAAAAAAAAAAAGATAATCATTGACATTTTACATTTTCCTGAAACTCTTTATTGTATTCTTAAAGGGTATTTAGTTAATTAGCTAAATAAATCATTGAACTATAATAGATTAAGTACATATCAAAACCACAAAAGAGGAATGGCCTTGAATCATCTATCAACAACCATTGATAGAGGGCTTATATATTTAAAATATTGTAAGCTACTGTACAAGAAAACTGTGATGACATGAGCTCTTAATTAGTTTCTAATTGAAATTAGTTGTTTCTTTAAAACATTTCTCCTTCCTTTTACCATAGAACTTAATTCATTGCACTCAACTGAAAATTGATGGTAAGACCATTTAGCCAATGGGTATACACACAGATATGCGCCAATATGAAGAGATGTTTGTGAGTTTGTGCATGTATTTGTATTTGTGTAGCAAAGCTAATTTTCTAAGATTTCAAGCATCTTTCTTTCTTTTGTTTAGGACTAGGGTTTGAACGCAGGGTCTCATGTGCCAACAAGCCTTCATCAGCTTGATACCTTGATCCAAGCCCTCAGCCTTTGTTGCTAGTTTTCAGATATGGTCTTGTGCTTTTTTCATAGGAGAGCCTTGAATCATAATGCACTTATGAATGCCTCTTATGTAGATGGAATTAGAACTGTGTAGCACCATGGCTTCTGTATATATTTTTTATGTTAAAACATTTTCAGGAAATTTGTGATTTTAAATATTTTTATTGTTAATTTTGTACTGTGATATTTTTTATTAATTTTCTCAGAGCACTTTGGTAGTCACCTGAAATTTTGTACATCAATTTTTTTAAGAGCAAAAACTGTAACTATTACAACTTCAATTTTTCAAGCGCAGTTTGGGTAATGAAAAATGTCTTAATACTTCACTACAAATAATCCAAAAGACTAGCTTTCCCTGGAAATAAAATGTATGCAATTGAGGTTTAACTATGATGTCACAAAATGAGAAGCTATTCTTTGAATGAAGATTGAAAAGATTTGATGAAGAAAGAATTAGAAATGTATTTTTAAAGTCATTCATGGCAAGAAAGACAAAGATGCACCAAGATCTCAGAGTAATTGCACACTATGAATGATGAATTGAGGTGACATTAAATAGAATATTGTGTGGAAATATTTTATTTGAATATTTGTATTATCTTTAAGTAGTTATACAAAGGAGTTGCCATTCACCAAAGCAGTTAATGAATTCAGTACATTTGGATCAATCTCAATCCTCTTTAACAATCTCACCTAATTCATTCCCTTACTTCTTTACACATCATTATTTTAGGTAATGTAGTGAATGTTTTTGCCATTCAGTAAAGGCATTTATGTATACAATACATCTTGTTCTGCATCACTTCAGAATCCTCAGCCCCCTTCAACCTACCTCTTCCCTTATATTTCTCAATTCTGTGGTATGTACGATGCATTTCCTCCTTTTTCCCCCTTTTACTCTTCTACTTCTCTCCCCTGGACTCCACTTTCCCTTCTTGCAAGTATCTATTTTTGGTACATATTTTGTTGGCCTTTGACTTATAAGCTAATTGATTAATATGGAGAGCAAAAATTTATTGTTTATCTATTTACTTATTCATTTTTGTAGGTTGTGGGGCTTGAACTCTGGGCTTTGGCGCTGTCCCTGAGCTCTTCAGCTTAAGGCAAGTGCTCTACTGCTGAAGCCACAGTGCCACTTCCGGTTTTCTCTTCATTAATTGGTGATAAGAATCTCTTGGACTTTCCTGCCCGGGCTGGCTTTGAACCACAATCTGCAAACCTCAGCCTCCTGAGTAGCTAGGATTACAGGCGTGAGCCACAGGCGCCCACCTATGAACGGAATATTTTAGCATGGTTTTCAAAATGTCTTGAAATAAAAGTATGTATTCAAATAACTATTTCTTTTTTTTTAATCGATGTAACTCTGTCTTGCCTTTGGATGCTAGAAAGATTTTTGTGAAAAATGAAACTCAATGAAAATGTCATGTAAATCTATGTAAGTATGCCTAGGCATGATTTTAATGAATAATGTCACTTTTCATTCATTTCTTACTTGTATGATCACTTTTAAAGAACATTTTCAGAGGGTGTACTCAACACAGACATAGGTACAGGCAGATTTTCGTATGTAGAGTATAAGATCCAACACTTCTTTGCATCAGGTATTTAACACTATCTTCAACTTCAGTATATTTGTAAAGTATGAACACTGGATGGCAAAATTGCAAGGTTTTACTCAATTATCTTTTTGTAGAAAATGTAGAGAGAGATGAGGTGATAAAAGCAATTAGATTCTTTTACTTCGTAAATTTCAAATTGTGTTGTTTTATAGCTAATATGTTGCCTTATGAGTAGTTGCAACAGGTGCAGAAAAGCACATTGGATGACTTAGTTTGCTCAATAAATATTTAATCACAAAGATGTGGATATGAAGACGCATAAAAGAAAAGCATTTACTCTGAGGAAGAGCCCCTAAATATCATAAAGCCCATAGTATCTAAATTTGATAATGAAGACATTTCCCCAAAAAGCAGGGATGACTCACTGAGGACCTTCTGAAATGGAGGCTGGTGAATACCACCATAGTCAGAGGAGACACTCAGAAATGCCTCGTCCGGTGAGACACTACAATATAGGCTCTGTACCTCAACTCCTGAGTTCATTTTGATGTAACCAACTGCACTTTACATGTTGAGCATGAAATTATGAATCCATCAGGATGCTACCAGAAATATAAAGAGCTTGACTATATCCAGTACCACTCCAAAGAAACGATGTCATGGTTTTAGACAACTCACATATGTAAGAAAGAAATATTCCTAAGTGGTATTGAAAGTCAATATTGATATTCTCATAACAGAGGAATATGTATTTAGAGGAACCAATGGTAATTATGTACATAGATTGGGTTACTTCCTTAAATGTAGTTTACAAAATAGAATTTCTGGGAGAAAGTGGTTGAAGCAACAAATTGGTTGCCTTTATTCTGGGAGGACAGCAATGGTTTCTGTAGATAAAGTAAAACAAAAAAGGCCCTACCATTTTATGTTGAATATAATTAAATTTACCATTGTAAACAAATTAATTAAAATTCATCAAATAAATATTTCTGGGTGTCTATAAAATTAGAACCCATATGTGGGATGATTTTGTATTCTATTAAAGTAATGATTTCTTCATTCGAGACACTGATTAGAACAATTTCTAACATACCTGAGCTCAATGATAACTTTGTGAATATTGTAGGCTAACATACTATCTAAAGCTTATAGGTACATAGGTATAGCTTAGTGATATAGAAGATAAATTCATAGTTTATATCAGGAAAAGGAAGAAAAGATATATTTTAATAGAAAAGAAAATGTCTTACTTGGTTAAGAATGTCTGGTTTCTGTGCATGCAAAGGAAGAAAGAATACATGTGTTAATGGAAGGTAATTGATACTCATCATCTTATATCTGTGATTATTTCAGTATAAGTCCAAGTTTACAGACCAACTTTAAAATACACTCTACCCTCACAGGTCTCAAAATGTGGTTCCAAAACAGTATGCAGACTCTTCAAACACTGCCCCAAAACATAAAGTAAGGAAATGAATGATCATGAGTCAAGGAGTAATCTGTTTTTCCAAACACCATGTGATTCTGATGTAAGCTAAAACTTGAGAACCAATCTTGAGATCAATCTTGGACTAGGAACTAAGCCAATAGTTCCCAATGACTCAACAAACATAATTTATATTATGTACAATATGATGAAACCCTCCACATAGGCTAGCAAAACTATAATATCATGCATAAAGATACATTAAGTTATGAATATATTTCTAACACTTAATATTTCTTTCTACTTGCATAACACATCAAGTTGCCCCCATACCTTTAAAGATTATAAATCTATTTTTTTATTTATCTATGTTCCCTCCATTCTTTAGGTTTCAGTGGAACAACTTGTTCTCAATTGAAAACCCAAGACAAAGAAAAAAAGAAAAGAAAAGAGGAATGGAGAGAAACAGTTCATGCAACACCAGACTCTTCTTTTCTTATACCAAATTCCACTACTCTTTTTGAGATCTTTATTTGTCCTGTGCTTTCTGAAAGTCTTCTTACTATAACTGGACCATATAGGAATAGGAATAGGAATACTTACATTCTCTTACTTAAGGCTAATAGGAAATTTGGCTCTTGTGTTGTTCAATATCTTTCCTTGCTCCTATTCTACTTATTTATGAGGGACTTTGTGTTCATTCTGGCCTCATCAATGCAGTAAAGAATAAAGGCCATCAGTCTCAAGCTGGGATTCTAGAAAATTAAGGGTAGTTTTTTAATTATTCCATTTTTAATTATCTTTAAGTAATTTTACAAAAAGGTCTCAATTCAACTTAACTATTTCTGTGTACAATGCACTTTGCCAACATGATGGTGGTTATCAGTTAGCATTAGGATTTCATGTGGGTAATCTTAGAAACAAGTTTATTTGAAAAGTTTGCCATATAGCTTTAGAAATCTCAGTCCTTTCTATGTTGTTTATTCTGAGAGAACTATTGATTTTATTTCTCCTACTCACTTTTTCAAGGATTAATTATTAAAATGTCTTTAAGGGATACAAATGTGAAAGACCAAACAAGTTCTATTTTGTAAATAAAGGTATATTTTTTAATTCAATAACTCAAATGAATTAAAAGCAAAATGATGCATCTACCACTGAAGTAGTTTAATTTAGAGGAGGAAGTTAAAGTTAAGGGATATTTACCTTATTCATTTTGTGCAAATGCATTTTATATGGATGTTACAAATCCTATTTGTTTTAGAAAACAAGGTATTAGTTATTTATTTAAAAGTAACATAGAATTAGTCCTTTTTCTACTTTTTAATATAACAAATCCTCAATAAGTAGCTATCCATAACAAACAACTTTTAATTCATCTTTTAACTCAACTGCACAAACTGAACACTTGGAATTCTTTCCTATATTTCAAATATGCTTTGTGAAAATAAACCTGAGAACTTTTGGTTCCATGATCAACATTGTAGGATTTGTTTATTTACTCATTGATTTAGGCAGTATTAGGGTTTGAACTCAGGGCTCTACCTCCCTAGGCAAGGAATCTACCACTGAGTCACACTTCAAAGAGATATTCTAGTTGTTGTGCATGGACTTTTATAACACATATACTTGCTCTTAAAATAACTATATAAGCTTTAAATTTTTCTCCTGAGTAAAGATTCTTAGCAAATATTAAGATCAGTATTTTATTTCCATCTGAATTTTGGACTACTATGGGGACAATAACATCTAGCTTTCTGCATCTCAGGTGTCTATTATCAGGGGAAGGAGGAGTGTCCGTCCTGGGGCTTGAACTCACAAGCTGGGCACTGTCCTGGAGCTTTTGTGCTCAAGGCTAGTTCTCTACTACTTGAGCTATGGTTCCAATTTTTACTTTTCTAGTTGTTAACTGAAGATGAGTGTCTCTCAGACTTTCCTACCCAGGCTGGTTTTGAACTGTGATCCTCATTTCTCAGCCTCCTGAGTAGCTACATTGTCAATAACATATTTAATATAATTTACATACATGGGAAGATAGCATAATTTTTAAAAGGCTCTGTGTCTAACAATGAGCTAGGAAGTCTATATAAAAGTGATTGATAAATGCATCTTAAGATTGTTGATGGCCGGGCGCTGGTGTCTCACGCCTGTAATCCTAGCTACTCAGGAGGCTGAGATCTGAGGATCACGGTTCAAAGCCAGCCCAGGCAGGAGAGACTGTGAGACTCCGATCTCCAATAAACCACCAGAAAACCGGAAGTGGTGCTGTAGCTCAAGTGGTAGAGTGCTCACCTTGAGCTGAAGAGCTGAGGGACAGCGCCCAGGCCCAGAGTTCAAGCCCCATGACCGACCAAAAAAAAAAAAAGATTGTTGATGATCCTCATGACACAGATAATACACAGTGATATTAAGCCATAAAGAAATCATTGTGTCAACCACAATGGAGATAGTCAGTTTCCAGATAGATTTCTTCAGGGAGAAAACATGTTTAATCTCTATATGGAGATTATATAAAAATAGATTTTCTATGTTTTTCTTCTTTGTTCTTTATTTTTAATTTGTCAGTCATGGGACTTGAACACAGGTCTGGACACTGTCCCTGAGCCCATTCACTCAAGGCTAGTGCACTACCATTTTGACCTAAAGTCCACTTCTCTCACAGACTTTCCTGTCCTGAAGCAAGATCCTCAGATCTCAGCTTCTTGAGGGGCTTAGATTACAGGCATGAGCAGGACTAATAATGATTTTTTAAAAAACTGTTACTGTGATAGGATTAATGGCACTTGTTGGGTTTATAGTAATTTAAGAAGTTGATTTTCTTCCTCTGCTTCCTTGTACTTAGAAAATTCCAGTCCTGCAAGTTTATTTGCCAAGATTACTTCTTTTCTCTCTAGCATTTTTTTCTCTCTAGCATTCAGGAAGATAAAATGTGAGGGAAATGCATGTCATTTACATGTTATAGTAGACTATTAATGATTTTAAATCACCATGGTTTCCGATCATAATAGTCAGTAAACATATGCAATTAAAAAAAGAATAGAAACCATAGGTTAGTTTTTGAAACTATAATAATATGAAGTAAAGTAAGAAAACATGACATGAAATTGGTCCTATCTCTAATCCCAGCAATGAGAGGACTACAACAAAAAGATTGCAGGCTTCAGATCAGCCTGGGATGTATAGTAATGCCTTGCAAAAAAAAACACCAAAAAGGACCCATAAAACAAACAAAAACACACATAAAAATTAACTGAGTAAAAATCTAAATAAAATATTACCTAAAATACAATTAATTATGAGAAATTCTGATATGAATTTATGAGACTGTGCATGCTTTGAATTAGAGTTCAGAGAATGGCCTAAAATAACTAAAATTATTTTCAACATAATCTAGAGAAGTACAAACTTGCAAATATGAAAAAAAGGAACAATGGGAATAAATAAGAAATTATGATTTAATCTGTAAACTAATCTATTTTGATGACACATTTAAACAAAATTGTCTTTTTTAGACAGAGGTTCAGTTTATTTCCAAACAGCACAAAATACCTGCTGGTGAAGCTTCAAATGAACTTAAGCTAATGATGTTCAAACTTTCAGAATATCCTGTTTCTCAACTAACATTAACTCAAAGGTAACTTAAATAATTGGGAAAGTAAAATAATTCATAAAAGTAATGACATTCAAAAGTAACTCATAAGTTAGGCAAGTTTCTATAAGGAAATAATTTCAGAAACTCAAAAGTTTACAAATAATAGATAGGGTGAGAAATGGCAGCTCCTTAAGATGACAAGCCAGTTATACTCATTACAAATCTTTCTTTGTTCAAAGAAATAATTGTCTGAAAGGAGTAATCCCTGTGCTCCACACTAAGGTCCATTTTGAGTTTTAATCTGCATACCATAGAGTGAGAGGCATCTTCCTTTTCCTCTATGTGATTTCATTTCCTGACTTCTAGACAAATGGGACTCTTGGCACTTTATTATAATAATATTCATTTTTTACAAGCACATACTATAGAGACATGGTTATTTTGAGAGAAAATTTTGAGTGAAAAATGTACTACATTTGACATATCTTCCAAAACAGCACTATTTTTTACTATGAATTCTATTTTGCTTATGTATGGCATAGAATTGTTTATGGTGAGATATATACATGCATGTATATGCATATATGTAAATACATACATATATGTAAATATGCATATACATGCGTGTATATATACAGCAATATATTTATATGCATGTATGAGTTCATATACACATATACATATCTTTAAAAATGCTTCATGAAAAAATTCTTCTCTCTGAGCATACAGACAAAACTGATAGGAAAAAGATTTACCCCTTCAGGATTGTACTTCGCAAGCACCCCATTACCATGGAATTCTTCCAGAACATCTTTCAACTTCTTTGTTGAATCTATAAAAAGAAATATACGAAGTGTTTATATATGCTCACAAAGTGTTATATATGCTTATTATATTTATATAGCCCACATAGATGCAAAACATGAATAATAAAAAGATACAATATCACCAATGGAAAACCAAATTTTATAGATCAACATATACAACATTCTTCAACATTTTCTAAGAGCTGTTTAATCAGAAAATGGCAAATAATGCTGAAATGCTGAGTCACATCATGACAAAAAATGGGGAAAAAAAGAACAGTAGAACAAAAGCTAGTGCTTAAGAATGTTGCCACCACCTGTTGTGTGAATTAATGTGGAAGTAAATAAATAGGTACTGTTTTTTCTTTGATAATGTAACATCTAAATCAATGAAATGAACTTATTTTAAAACAAAAAGAAAGAAACCAGTCAATCATGTCAAAACTTCTAGTTGGTATTTTTTGTATAATATTGCATTAAATAATAAAACCACTCATATTGCCTTTTATTGCATTTGGGTCCTGACAAAACAATACTGTGCTAATGTTAAAATAATATTATAAACTAACAAATATTATTAGAATTAAAATTATTCATTTATATAAATATGTGCAGTTTGCTAAAATAGTATTTTCATAGAGATAATTTTTGATCAAGCAATCTCAGATCTACCATGTACAATTAATTGTTAACAAATACAAATAAATCACCTAAATAGTCCAGTGAACATACTTTATACATATATTTTCACTTATGAAAGAGAGTATGAGTAATTATTTCCTAGCACTTTATTTTAACTTGTGATTTGTTCTGCCTTTTTCCAAGGTTCAATAGTACTTGAACTAGCATAAAATAGCTCACTTTTCAAAAATCTAATTTCCTACTGAAAAGTTCACTCTTAGTTTAGATCAAGTATACTGTGCCTACATATTGTGAACTCTCACTGAGAATATATGGCTCTCTCATCTACTGTATATATGATTATATACCTGTATAAGTAACATATAAACTGGGCTGGGAAGTTGGCTCAGTGGTAGAGCGCTTGCCTTGCATGCTTAAGGCCCTGGGTTCGATTCCTCAGCACCACATAAGCAGAAGAAAAAAAAAGCCGGAAGTGGTGCTGTGGCTCAAGTGGTAGAGTGCTAGCCTTGAGCTGAAGAGCTGAGGGACAGCGCCCAGGCCCAGAGTTCAGGCTCCATGACCGGACCCAAAAAAAAAAAAAAGAGAGAAAAAAAGAAACATATAAACTATATTTTGTGAACTAACATTTCAAATGTAAATATCTTTCATTTATTTTATATATGAATTGCATATCTGTTTGAAGTGAAAATATCTTTATTTGGAATAAAGTTCACATTACATAATATTAACTATTGTAAATATTTGAAGTATATGATTCAGTATTTTCTTGCTGTTATACCAAACTCTCACATTATCCATTGATCCATCACTTCCTCATTCTATCTTCCTATCAGAACCAGATTACAATTAATCTATTGTTTGTGTCCACAGATTTGCCTTTTCTGGGCATTGCATATAAAGAGATTCACATAACATATTGCTCTGTGTCTGATTTCTTTCCCTGAGCACAGAATATTTAGGCTTCATCCTTCTTGTAGCATATGTCAGCACATCCTTCCTGTTGTACAAACTATTGAATACTCCATTGTATTGTTAAATTACTTTTTAAAATCAGTAAATATTCACTTAGGTTATTTCTAGGTTTGGATTAATATTTTGAATATTCAAATGTACAAGTTTTGTGTTATATGGTTGTATGTTTGTGTTTATGGCTATAAAATTTCTCAATCATATAGTAATCCCATGTTCAAACTGTTTGAGAAACTGCTAAATGGACTTTCACAAAGGCTGTTCCATTTTACATTCCCATCACTAATAGGTAAAGGGTATAATTTCCCACATCGATTCCATTTTATTTTTTTAAATCTTTTTTATTTAATCACCCATGGATTTTCAGTGATTTGGTTTTGCACCTTATTACTTACTTGCTGATTACCTGATAATGTTGAACATCTTTCATTATACTTATTGGCTACTTGAATATTATTTAAAGAAATGTCTTCTCAGATCCTTTGACCAATTTTAACTGAGTTGTTTATTGTGTTAAAATTCTGTATAGTACATATTTTTCTGCTTGAAATCTATACATATTCCTATAAATTTATTTTTCAGTAAATACTTTACTATCACTTTTTGTCTGTAATCAGAGTTAATAGATTGCCACATCTCCTGCTGCATTTTAAATTGCTGTAGGACAGAAATGGTATGTTTTCATTTTTGCACAGCTTTCTGTTTTATTAAAATGTTGAAACACTAGAATTGTAATATATATTGGGATTCAGCTTGAGGTTAAGAGCTGGTTTAGCACATGCAAACTTCTGGTTTTCATTTTAGCCCTACTGTAACAAACTGGGATTACATCGATTTAATTAATCCCTGAATTACAACAAAATATGGTGATTGCTGAGACATGTATCTTCTCAGAAACAAATGCTATATGTTTATCGGAATTAGGGAAGGGGAACAAAGAATGGTGAGACAAAAGACAAAGGGGAAAACCAATGCAACAAGACAATATGTTGGACATGATCTGTACATCTTAAGGTGAGGAATTGGGCAGGGCAAGTAGAAGAAAAACGAGGGAAGGAGTAACAAGTTTGAGAAAGGTACTCATTACCTTACTTATGTAACAGTAGCCCCTATGTACATCACCTTCACAATAAAAAAGTTCTAGGCCTGTCCTAGAGCCCCTCATTCTACCTACAATGAGAAGCATGGATATGGTAACAAAGTGAGACTCTGTCTAAAAACTATCTAGCGAAATGAACTCCAAGACATAAGAGGTTTTTCTTTGTTACTGTTGTTTTTAATGTACTATGTGATTTCTTGTTTCTTTTGTCTGTTCTTCCTCCTATGGTCTAGTCCCTGTTGTCACTGTATTTGATTTTGGTACCCAGATATTGTATACACATTTATCTGAGTTAGAGAAGGTAGTGGGAACAACAGAATGGTGAAACAAAGGACAAGGGGGACCAATGCAACAGCGATACTCAGAAGACAATATGTTGGAAATGATCTGTACAACTTGGGAATTAGGAGTGTGGGTGGGGAAGTAGGAGGAAAATGAGGGAAAGGGTAACAAGTTTGACAAGAAATGTGTTTACTTACATAACTGTAACCCCTTTGTACATCACCTTGACAATAAAAATAAATAAAACATACTCATGTAGAAATAAACCTTTACTTATAAATTTAAATGTAAAAATACAAAAGTAAGTTCATCTCTTATTTCTGCAGTCATCTTTGTAGATGATAAGGTTACTGTCTTTAGAAGAAACCTTTTACTTTTTTTTCTTTCAAATGCAGATGTAGTCGTCCATGTAAGGCTACGAAGTCAAACTTACACTGCTGTACACATTCTACAATATCAAGTCCCAATAGCAATGCTGATATTGACTATATCATAGCTCAATGATAAAATGGAGGTGGGAAAAATACTCCACAGGTTTCTTATTTATAAGCTTCCAGAGAATTGTGAAGGCATTACCTAAGGATAGCCCTTACATTTCAGGTTTCCTTAAGAGTAAATAAGGTATTCAGCAATTCATAAACATTTCAGGAAGAGTACAAGCTGTTAAAATTATCTGCATCACATTTTAATGGCATATTGGTCTAATTGATTTATACTGGATTATTCCTGGTAAAAAAGATTATGACCTACATCAAGAGCCAAAAATGTTCATACACATGATTCTTATTTCCGAGAACTAGGGCTCAACTATAATCTTGATTTGAGGCAATTGAATTCATATTCAGATGACTCACTGTCAATTCAACTTGTTCCTTTTCTAATTCTCAAGTTCCATTCCTGCATCTTGACATGATGGTTTCCTATCTATTTGGAACATTTTCTTCTTCTGCTTCTGTCTCAATAACATTTCATGGGCTCGCTTCTCCAAGACTAAGCCCTTGACTTGTTCAGACAATTTTCTGAAGATGGGAATTTTGATGTGAAACTCCACAGGGACACAGAAATCTGTAACCTTTCAGCAGAATTCCTTCATGCAGTTTACCTTTCTTCTTGGATTTTCAGTTGCACTGTGCTATAAAATTTCTGCCACTATTCTTTAAATTTATGAAACTACATGCATGTCTTATTTTGCAATTTAGCTAATTTTCATTTTTTCCCTACCATACATCACTGTAAACATTCTTTTATTTTTGTTTATGCCACTCTGGCTTATGTTCTGTAAAAAACAACATTGGGGGAAAAAAGTTTAAATAAAAAAAGCAGAATGGATCCAGGTCTGGGTGTGACCTGCCCTTCAGGACAAGGCAAATTTTCACTAAGGAAGTGACACTTAGATGACAAGCCTACAGGTAAAATATGGTATAAGTCACATCACAGCTAGTAACAAAGGTTCAAGTAAAAGAGCACAATGACAGAATCTGGGCTCAGCAATACTGAGAAATCCAGGCAGGCAGCCAGGCAGTTGTGAGCTGAAAGATCAATTCATAGTTAATACATATCTGTAATAGGATAAAGGTCTAGTGACCAGGAAGATTGGCAAATTAAGTGCTAGGCACCCAGGTGCTCAGAAGCCAAGTCCAAACAGCTATTTAATCTTTGGAATATGGTCCAGGATGAATACTCAATGAAAATAATTGAGTCTCCTAGTAAACAGTAAAGGATTCGGACTTGGGAGCACTTCTATGACACAATTCCAGAGCTGCTATGCTTGGTCAGTAGAACAAAAGACTTGAAGTACCATATAGATACCCACTGGCTAACAGATTACAATATCAATATTCCCAGAAGTGACTTAATAGTAATAACCACATCAAAGAGAATGAATTTATTTGGGGTTATATTTTCTACCACCATAAGCATCACTGAAGAATGGAGTTGGTACCAAGTATCAAAATCGGAGTCATTCTACTCAGCAAACATCTTTGTTAAGTAATAGGTCAAGAAATGAATATCAGAATTGAGAAAGTAGATTTT